GTTTGTTCATGGGGGGGAGGCATGCGATTTTTACAGCATTTTTACATTATTTATTGACCAAGTCCACTGCACTTTATGTATTTGTATGCATGTTATGAATTAGGTTAGGAAAAGAGAGAAGAAAATCTAGGGAACCAGAAAAATGTATAGAGTGAGAGAAGGAACAGAAAGGGATGTATAATGCTAATAAATGAATGAAAGAAATAGTAAAAATAAAATAAATAAATAAATAAAAAAAAATATATAGGGAAAAAAATTATGATAAAAAAAATATATATATATAGATTAAAAAAAAAGTTGTATATTATGCTCATACATGTTGTTAATACTATATAATTGTATATTAGTTTTGGAAAATTGTCTGTAGCGAGTGATAAGTATGCTGTGTTTAAAGCAACCCAATGTAATTGGGCAGCACCCTTTTATGATAATAAAGTGATTCTCTCTCATAGATGGTAAATATTATTGGTTTTATTAACAGCAAATACAATATAAAAATATTAATTAAATTTGTTTTTTTTTAAATATTTGTATTTGTTCTTCAGATTTATTTAGTTTGCCCCTTCATTTGTCGAGGCAAAAAGAAAAGCACTTCCTGTCAGTAAGGCGGCATGGTGTTTATAACTATTGAAGGCGCAAACAGAATTTTTTATTATTTATTTTTTGTGGTCCACAAAAAAAAGATGTACCTAATGTGTTAAATACTTATACATTTTTACATTTATTTAAAAATAAAACTCTATATGTTTAGGTAATTATTACCACACAAATATGTAGTAGAGCATAAAGAACAAACAAATTATGAAGTTAAAAATAAATGTAATAATCACACATATTTACATGGTTCCCATAATCCTAAATCGAAAAATAAATAATAAAAGTCGATTAAGTATATATCATGTAATTATTATCTCCGTGTAGGTTATTAAAAAAAAAAAAAAAAAAAAAAAAAAAACGTATTTCTTTATTTTTGTAACGTCACTTTTTAGATGTGACTAAAAAATTCTTGACGGAAAAAAGGTACCAAATAAGCAAATTTAGTAAAATTAATCCAAAAAATACATATATTCCGTGATAAAACCGATAGTCTTCAGTAATTTCTAGGAAATTAATCTATAGTAATGTAAATTTCAAATATTGTTAATACATTTAATATTATTTGGACATATATATATATATATATATAATATACAATTATAAAAAAGGTAAAATAATGTAAAAATTCAAAAGTTGATTGAATAAATCACTGTGGAGAAATGGGAGTGAAAGTTTAATAATAATTAGATAAACTACGTTAGATCAAGTGAATAGCAATAACAATGAGAATATTATATATATGGGTGGGGCTGGGGTAGCCAAGGCTTTTGCAATAGGTAATCAAAGTTAAGGAACGCCGAGCGTGGTTTAGCACTTGGATGGCCGAGATTCCTCCAACCACCCCCCGGATATGTGAGACCCGTCAGGCTACTGGAGGCAACTTACACGGATTGCTGCCACTAAGATCTATACTAGCCCGATTTGAAAGATAGCATTCTGTAAATATGAACCAGTGGGATTCTGCTCGGCTGATGGGAACTTCTGAATAAGTTTTAAACCGTAAAAGACGGGAGAAATAACTGCTCATATATGAAAAAATAGTGTATTGGATACTATAGTGCTGCTATGCCATAAACCGAATGAGACATCGCGGCTACCTTCTTAAATGATACAGAAGTTCTTTCCACGAGAAGTGACAACCAAGAAACAGCTGGAAAATTAAAATTAGCAAATAGTCAATATTCCAAGATCCACCAACAAACCAAATTAACAAATTAACTGTCCCTCTTACTACAACTTCATATCCTACAACTCCTTTGCCACCCGCTTATATGGCCTAAGAAAATTGAAAAACCTAGAAATCCCTTCCGCCCTATCATCTACAATATAAACGCCCCTCAGCTAAACTCAGCAAATTCCTTTCATCCTCTCTCCAAAAACGTAGCCACAATAATCCTTATGACATTAATAATTCATTTCACCTTAAAGAAGAGTTGTATTCTCTCCATATTCCTGACAACTTTATCCTTGTTTCTCTAGACGCCGAAAGCTTGTCGAAGGGACTGTTCCCTTGGATTTGCTTAGGGCTAGGGTGACTATGATTCCGAAAGTTGTCGATCCTAGTGGACCCTGTTACTTTCGGTCGATCTCTGTGTCCTCGGTGATTGTTCGGCACTATATATACCCCTCAGGTAGTTAATATTTTAAGTTTGGGCCCCAATTTTTCATTCCCTTCTTCCAAATGATCCAATCTCATCCCTAGCCTAATTACAGATCTAGAAGGTATATACTTAACTCGCTCAATACAAACGACCACTTCGTTATTACTAAGCTTGATAAGAGAAATTCGACAATTATTATGGACAAGAACGAATACTCACACAAAGTGAACATACTACTTTAGACCAAACAACTTACGCACCCTCCCCCCGTGACCCAAAACGTTCACTAATGGTAAAATTCAACCTATACATTAAAAACTTACTTGAGACCAAACAAACCAAACAAATTAACTGTCCCTCTTACTACAACCTCGTATCCTACCACTCCTTAGCACCCCGCTTACATGAATTCCCGAAAATTAACAAACCTGGAAATTCCCTCAGCCCTATCATCTCCAATATAAACGCCCCCTCAGCTAAACTCAGCAAATTGCTTTTACCCTCTCTCCAAAAACTTAGCCACAATAATCCTTATGACATTAATAATTCATTTCACCTTAAAGAAGAGTTGTATTCTCTCCATATTCCTGACAACTTTATCCTTCTTTCACTAGACCCCGAAAGCTTATTTACCAACATCCCAATAGACAAAGCCCTCCATATTGTACAAAAAAACTGGAATTGTTCCGGCTAGAATTGTTCTTGACCGCAGGCTAGACAGGGGTCGGCACTGGGTCGAGGACATGTTTTCTTATTGGGCACCGATCCTTGAGGCCCCTTCTTTAGACTGTGAGGTTGATAGGATTGTTGGCTCTCCGGTCCCTGCTGGTTTTCGGGTTTGGGATTAAATTTCCAAGGTTGAGGCTGTGTCCCGCTGGTCGATCGGCTGCTGTACTTTACAGGGTGGATCCCTCTGTTTGGAGGGCCCTGCCCTGGAGAGTTAAGGCGGTCATCCTTGACCTTTTTCATCTCGAAGGGACTGTTCCCTTGGATTCGCTGAGGGCTAGGGTGACTATGATTCCGAAAGCTGTCGATCCTAGTGGACCCTGTGACTTTTGGTCGATCTCTGTGTCCTCGGTGATTGTTCGGCACCTGCCGATTTAAGAGGGGGTTGACGGCGTTGCTGCCAATGTTTTTATGCTGGACCCCGTCCTACGTTGTGACGATGAGATTAAGTCTTTATCTTCCATTTGCAAACGGGGCCCAACAGGCTCAAAGCACTTATGATCAGGTTTTACGCCTTTAAACCCAATCAAACAAAATAAATAAAATTTATACATAAATATTGATTACACTAAAAAAAAAAACGAAAAGTAGAAAGTGTCTGCGAATCGAATAATAATTAAGGACCCCATTGTGTGAAAATTAAAACGGTGCCAGGTACATGTGTTAACTAAAAATTAACAGTTAATCAATTCTTTGGCAGTGGCCCCGTGACCTTTTATAGTTTTTAAGTATTGGAGTTCTGGCAATGGCCAGATTCTCCACCCATGACATGAGTGTAGGTGGTTAAAGCACTCTTGCTCAATCTCCATTGGGTTTTAACCCCAGTGACGCGGTTGAGAGAGAATTGCGGGGATCTGCAGGAATCAGGTTTTCTCTCCACAGTCGGAGGGACAAGTCTGGCTCGGAGTTCTCTAGCCTTATTGTAAATAGTGTATATAGGTATGTATATGTTCTTTTTATTTATTTATTTGTATGTTATTTTATTCTTATTTATTGTTTATTTATGGATAATTTATTGTACATGGAGTGTGAATGTGATCTTTGAACACTATTATAAATGTCCTTTACGACAGATTGTAATATTTTTTAATAAATAAGTTCTTTTTAAAAAGACAGTTCTTAATATTGATCTCAATAAATGGCATAAAAGAGAAAAGGTAAAATATCTAAATATTAATATATTTACGTAGAAATTAAGAAAGCATAACCATTCATTGTATAAAATAAATTTACATAAATGTAATAGGGTAAATAAACGCATTAATTTATTTATCTCTTGTATCTAAAATTCTAGTTAAAATCCTCCCCCCCCCAAACCTGTCACAATGCCTACATGGCAAGCGTTCCTGTATAATACATCTAGGTCTTATAGGAGTACGTTAAAATAATGATTGAACATACACTTTTTTTTTTTTTTTTAATTTTGAAACCCAGGACTTCACCTGGACAAACGTCTAACTTGGGATCCTCATACCAGACTGAAACGACAAGAAACAGCTCGACGTTTTGGACTACTTCAACACTTATTAGACAAACGCTCTAACCTTCCAATTAATTACAAAGACTCATTTACATGACTATAACAAGGCCTATTGGGACTTACGGAGTTGAGCTATGAGGCTCCACCAAACCTACAAATTCCTCACGTATCCAATCCTTACAACCCAAAGTCCTTCGTAAAATCCTCTTTTTTATAAATAAAATCATCCATAACGACCTTAATGTACCATATGTTTTCGATTTAGCTCAATCCAGATACCTATCCTTCCATAATAAACTTCTGAACCATCCGAACCCTCTTGTTTCCAACCTTGTTTCTTCTATTCCTGATAATCCCCCGAGGCGTCTGAAAAGAAAATGGCCTCGGGACCTTCTAATATAGAAATATAATTGGAGTAACTACCAATGGGTAGTTTCTCTTCATGTGTTTCATGTCATTATATCCATGTTCGAGTTTACTTGATGTATTTTTTTATACAGTTGTAAATATCATATAAATAAAAAAAAAAAAATTGAATGGTGAGAAATGTATATAAAAGATTAAAACACGACAGGGCTAGGTTGAATATAGGCCTTATGATATTGCACGTCTCTTGTTTGATGTATCAGGGAGAGTTGCTGGCGCTGACCCTAATCCTCACCTCAAGGGATCCTTACGTGATAGGAAAACCTGTCACCGTCCCTCGGAAAATAGTAGCCCACCCATCTATCCTCTCCTGCAAAATTCAGCACGTATCCCATACCATACATTCCGCTCACCCACTTTTTACAATCTCATCTACAAAGACTCCTTAGCAAGACAAATTCCGCCCTTGCACGTCACTTGAATTCATAAAAAAAGAGGTCATTGATTAATTTTAATTAAATAATTGTGGAATGATGGCTGACTGTAGTGGAAATTTATGAGAAGTTGGTTGGGGTGTCCAGACAAAAAAAAAAAAAAAAAAAAAAAAAAAAGATATAAATAAATGATATTTATCAGAGACAGATACTGATCAAAATAAATATCATTTATTTATTATTACTTTAATACGCGAACCAACTTCTCTTTAACTTTAATTAAGTTTTGAAATTAATTTCAATTGCTATTTTCACTGGTTACATCTCTTCAAATAATTATTATAATTCAAGCTACTGGAAGGGTAAAGGGCGAAGGTTAGTGTAACATGATCATAGTATAACTGGCTCGATAGTAGTAAAAATAAAAAAATATATAAAAATAACCTTTCATATGATATAAATAAATAATCCGATACGATAAAGAATCGTAATATTATTTTTAAAAGATGAGACGAAAATAAACAAATCACTAGAAAGCAAAAAAAAAAAGAAAATGTCAATTTAAAATAGATGTTCAAAATAGTATAAGAGGATAATAATTATAGAAAACATATAAATGATCCATTAAAAAATAAAAAATCTGGTGTGTTCACTCACGTACGAATATATATATTATATATATATATATATATAATATATATATATATATATATATATATATATATATACCCCTCAGATAGTTAATATTTTAAGTTTGGACCCCAATTTTTCATTCCCTTCTTCTAAATGATGCAATCTCATCCCCAGCCTAATTACAGATCTAGAAGGTATATACTTAAATCGCTGAATACAAACGACCACTTCGTTATTATTAAGGCTGATAAGAGAAATTCGACAATTATTATGGACAAGACCGAATACTCACACAAAGTGAACATACTACTTTAGAGCAAACAACTTACGCACCCTCCCCCCGTGACCCAAAACGTTCACTAATGGTAAAATTCAACCTATACATTAAAAACTTACTTGAGACCAAACAAACCAAACAAATTAACTGTCCCTCTTACTACAACCTCGTATCCTACCACTCCTTAGCACCCGCTTATATGGACTCCCGAAAATTCACAAACCTGGAAATCCCCTCCGCCATATCATCGCCAATATGCCCCCTCAGCTAAACTCAGCAAATTGCTTTTAGCCTCTCTCCAAAAACTTAGCCACAATTATCCTTGAGCCATTAATAGTTCATTTCACCTTAAAGAAGAGTTGTATTCTCTCCATATTCCTGACAACTTTATCCTTCCTTCACTAGACCCCGAAAGCTTATTTACCAACATCCCAATAGACAAAGCCCTCCACATTGTACAGAAAAACTGGATAATCATCGAACCTCACAACACCCTCAACCTCTCCTCATACCTTGAGCTTTGTTGCAGATCCGTATATCTCACTTTCCAAGGAAAATTCCTTAACGAAATTTCTGGTATAGCCATTGGAAATTCTTTAGCACCGGATATTTCCAATATTGTCCTTAATGGCCTTCTAGAATCCGTTATCCCTTCTTTCAATCAAGACATAATTTTCATTAAAATATATATCGATTACCTCCTCCTTGTTCTTAACCCTGACAGCATTCCTCAAATTTTGTCCTCATTCAACTTTTACCACCCCCATCTTCTTTTCACTACGGAGAAGTAAGTTAACAATTGATTCCCCTTCTTAGACCTCCTAATAATAAAAAACACAGACTGCCAAATTTTTACTGACTGATATACTAAGCCCACGTACTCAGGCAGATTACTTAACGTTTATTCTCAATACACATATCACTAAAAAATCAATACCGCGAAAAACTTATTCTCTATCTTTATCTGATCCAAAATATTACCAAGCCAACACTCAGCGTGTCAAAAATATACTCCTTTTCAATAATTTCTCTCTCAACACTATACTTAAACTTTTAAACAGCTGTACAACCAAAAAATAGTACAACTTCCCCTTCTCTCAACTCCCCACAATCACCTGCCGCTCCATCCATATACAAATCTCTCTCCTATGTTCCTCCTATTCTCTCAGATAATATACAAAAAATCCTTAAATCGACTATAACCAACTTACGTCTTGGCCTTAGGTCCCATATCAAACTTTCTCTCTTTTTCACCAACTTGAAGAATCCCATACTTTTACAACACCGATCTAATGTAGTTTACCGAATACCTTGCTCTACTCCTAATTCTAATTGCTCCTTTATTGGCGAAACCAAAAACCATATCAAAACCCGTATTTCCCAACATAAAACATCCATAACCTCACGGAACCCTTCCGCCTCCAAACTATCAGAACATGCCTTAAACAACCCTTAACAATGCATTTGATTTTGAAAAAACCCTGTATTCTTGCCACGGTCCCTAGGAATGAAAAAAGACTCATTTACGAATCCATCCACATTACATGGAACAGAGTCCTGTTAATCATAAAGTAGATAACAACTTTTTTTTTTTTAATCTGTTTATTGAATAATAATACAATCAGCCACTGCTGGAGGGCTATAAGCATTAGGGCTAAAAGTTCTCATTCATACAATATATCCAAATAATAAAGAAAGAAATATAAATATAAGAAGTAAATAAATAATACTGGTGAAGAAGTTAAATAAAAATAAACAAATAAAATAAAATAAAAACTTCTAAACACAATCATACCTATATACAATATATACATTCGCCCAAGAATCTCCGAGCCAGGCTTTTTCCCCCACACGTGGAAGGCAAAGCAAGACTCCGGAAGATCCCAGCGCCACTTTTCTGGACTGAAAAATGGAGACTGAAAGAGGGCACTAGAGCCACAGACGCGCAGGACATGAGTCGAGAAGCTGGCCATTGCCAGGACTCCAAAGGCATATTTACAAAAGATCTCGAGGCCACTGCCGTTTCAACCTTCGAGGGGGATGGTATGAGATAAAAACTGTATTTCTTTAACATGTAGGCACATTTTAAATCTTATAAGTGAATAATAACTTATTTATTACATCTTATTATTTTTTATCTATTTTCAATATTTATTGATTAATTCAATTTAATAGTTCATTATTTTTAAGTATTTCTCTTTGTATGTTCTCTCTTTTATTTTTAATTTTATATTTACCTTCTACATAAATGTACGACCATCCGTTTTACTTTTTAACCATTATGTCACAATATTGTCTAATATTTAGATGTAATTTTCTTACATATGCACAACTAAGTATAATTATAATTATTCATATTTGTTTCCTCTATATACGTCTAAATTTGTTCTGCAACGTATGGTCTCTTATTTTTATATTTATATTTTACTTCTACGTACGTTTTACTTCTTTAATTTTTGTTTTTATTCACATTGTAATGCTATCTATAATTTTTTAATTCTATTTAATATGTATATGTATATATTTATAATTTATTATTTCATAGATATAATATTTTTTCTTGTAGCCATCCGTATCTTTAAATTTTAGATACTGTAGTTTCCCAGGTTTTGTTTTACTTCTACTAATTACCCCTCACCATTCCCCAACCAGGTCAGCAAATTTCCCCAATACTTACCCTGGTTTTCCAGTTCTAAGTGAAACTCCTTGCTGAACACACCTGCAGAAAGTCTCTATTTTTATTCTTCTAATTTTATTTACTTATTTTTTTTCTTTTCTTTCTCCACGTCTCTATAGGTCCATTATTTCATATTATATCCTTTTTCCATTTCTTCCAATCTTTCCTGTAGATCTGCAGGAGTATATTCACTATTGTATATATTATATTTTATATTATAATACAGTAATTGTTACCATCTATTTATTTCAGTTTAAGATCTTGTTACTTAGCTTAATCTGTTTATACAACTCATTGTTCCTAATATTTTAATGTACTTACTGTTTATAATTTTTATAAGCTTATTCACATTGTTTATAATTTTGATATCTAAATATGATGTAACTTCCACAATGCTCTATATCTTTTTGTATCTTGTCCGTTCCAGCACTTTTTTTTTTTTTTTTTTTTTTTTTTGTACTTCCCTACCTCGCCTTTTAGGCTATACGGGATTTTCGAGGGCCGGGGGTGAGGGCGGGGAATTTAAAATCCCCTCCGGCACCGGGACGCGAACTCGTACTTTTTATATTATCTCAAATCTCTGTTATCCGGTTGCCAGGCAACTAGCGGTGCTGTTACACACGCTTTAGCCTATTCGGCCACCCCGCCCCCTGTCCGTTCCAGCCCTGAAGAAGATCTGCAAAATCTGGTCGAAACGTTGGCTTTTAATAAAATAGTTTTGCTACTATTTAGTCTATTTACGACCACCACCCCGGACCATTTCCCTCCATAAAATATATAAACAAATTTATCATTACAATTGGCAAACATATTCGTGATGAATTAATGTAATAATTTTATATTCAGTGAAACATAATACAATTTTTAATGGAAAAATCAACCAATAAAACTATAAGGCTTTTAACCATGGAGATAATAACGCTTAAGGTAACATAATAATGTAAATGTTATTTCTAAATAAAAGGGTAGGAGTAGAGGGAAACAACAAGATATTTAAGATAAACTTTTAGTCCCAAAGATTCTATGATAGTGAGGCAATGAATAAGTAATAATAATAATAATAATAATATATCAATATTATTATTATTATAGGACTGATATCGGAAGAAACTCTATCTTCTCTGCGGCAAGTAGAACTACCATCTCAGACGATCGAATGCAACAAGCGGTGTTGTTGGGAACAGCAAGAATAGTCAGGAATTTCATAAATATTAAAAAATTATGAAAATATATAAATGTAATTTTTGGCTGACCTAATACGTCCCCAACTATTACATATTATAAACACTATTGTATATGTGGAAAATAAAGAGACAATAATAATATTATAGCAATAAAAAAAATTATAAATTGACATTTTTCTTCTTCAAATAATTAAATATTTTGCCAAATGAGAACATACATTAATGAAAATGACGATTTTGTGTA